TGCGTGTCAACTATGACAGCCCCACAGCATCCAGAGGCTTAAGGAACTCCAGGCGGATCTCATCCACCCCTGGGGCCTGGCCACTGACGAGCTTTTTAACCACCTCAGCGACCTCCGCCCCAGAGATAGGGGAGTCCACATGCAAGTCCCCATACTCTGCTTCCACATTGGAAGGCGTGTCGGTGGGATTGAGGTGGTTTTCGAAGTACTCCCCCCACTGACAGAAAACGTCCCGAGTCGAGGTCAGCAGCACCCCATCCCTACCATAAACAGTGTTGATGCTGTACCGCTTTCCCACCCGGAGCCGCCGGATGGTGGACCAGAATCGCCTCGAAGCCGTCCGAAAGTCGTTTTCCATGGCCTCGCCAAACTCCTCCCACACCCAAGTTTTTGCCTCAGCGACCGCCGAAGCTGCATCCCGCTTGGCCTGCTGGTAGCTGTCAGCTGCCTCTGGATTCCCACAGGCTAAAAAGGCCCGATAGGACTCCTTCTTCAGCTTGACGGCATCCCTCACCACCGGTGTCCACCAGCGGGTTCGGGGATTGCCGCCGCAACAAGCACCGACCACCTTACCGCCACAGCTCCGGTCAGCCGCCTCCACAATGGAGGCATGGAACATGGCCCATTTGGACTCAATGTCCCCCACCTCCCCCGGGACATGAGAGAAGTTTTGCTGGAGGTAGGAGTTGAAACTCCTCCTGACAGAGGATTCCGCCAGACATTCCCAGCAGAATACGCTTGGGCCTGCCAGGCCTGGCCGGCTTCCTCCCCCACCAGCAGAGCCAACCCATCACCAGGTAGTGATCAGTTGACAGCTCCGCCCCTCTCTTCACCCGAGTGTCCAAGACATGCGGCCACAAGTCCGATGACACGACTACAAAGTCGATCATCGAACTGCGGCCTAGGCTGTCTTGGTGCCAAGTGCACATATGAACACCCTTATGCCTGAACATGGTGTTCATTATGGACAATCCGTGACGAACACCGAAGTCCAACAACAAAGCACCACTCGGGGGGGCCGTTCCTCCCAATCACGCCACTCCAGGTCTCACTGTCATTGCCCACGTCAGCATTGAAGTCCCCCAGCAGAACAAGAGAGTCCCCAGGAGGAGTGCTCTCAAACCCCCCTTGCAAGGACTACAAAAAGGGTGGGTATTCTGAACTGCCGCTTGGCGCAAAAGCGCAAACAACAGTCAGGACCCATCCCCCTACCCGAAGGCTAAAGGAGGCTACCCTCTCGTCCACTGCGGTAAACCCCAATGTACAGGCACCGAGCCAGGGGGCAATAAGTATGCCTACCCCCGCTCGGCGCCTTTCCCCGTGGGCAACTCCAGAGTGGAAAAGGGTCCAACCCCCCACAAGGAGACTGGTTCCAGAGCCCAAGCCATGCGTTGAGGTGAGCCCGACTATATCTAGCCGGAACTTCACAACCTCGCACACCAGCTCAGGTTCCTTCCCCATCAGAGAGGTGACATTCGATATCCCAAGAGCTAGCTTCTGCAGCCGAGGATCGGACCGCCGAGGTCCCCGCATTTGGCCACAGCCCAACTCACATCGCACCCGACCCCTATGACCCCTCCTATAGGTGGTGAGCCCATTGGAGGGGGGACCCACGTGCCTTGTTTGGGCTGTGCCCGACCAGGCCCCATGAGTACAGGCCTGGCCACCAGGCGCTTGCCATCGAGCCCCACCCCCAGGCCTGGTTCCGGGGGGGGGGCCCCGGTGACCCGCGTCCGGGCAAGGGAAACCGTGGTTCCATTATTTTTTTCTTCATTGGGGTCTTGTGAGCCGCACTTCGTCTGGTTCCTCACCCAGAACCTGTTTGCCTTGGATGACCCTACCAGGGGCATAAAGCCCCCAGCAACTTAGCTCCTGGGATCATTGGAACACGCAAACCCCTCCACCACGATAAGGTGTCGGCTCCAAGAGAGGTAAATCTCTACAGTACTATTTTAACAACAAAAGAAGGTTTGCACTGGCTCAAGCCAATTTTAGCTATCTTCCTCAATTGAGTATTTTCTCTTATTTAAGTTGCCTAAGGAAGAGCTGCTTGTGCACTAATTCAACTCAACCGCCCTAGCTTCTTGTTTAATACCTGCATCTTGTTTGAATGCAGTTTCTCACAGATTCTCTTTCCAACCCATTTTTGAAAGAGAGGTTTTAGAGGAATTGTTTCGTTGGACCCCAAAAAGCCAGCTGGATCAGATGGGATTGTTCTATTTTTATTTATTTATTTACTTTTTTAGATAGCAGCTCCAATTGTTATGGCACCATTAACAGATATTTTTAGTACCTACATTCTCACTGCTGAATTATTGAGTGATTGGAAGGCAGCTGTTGTGAACCCTCTTTTTAAGGATGGTGATCAGGCTTAACTTAAACTGTTATAGGCCTATATCTATTTTACCTTTTCTATTTAAGCTTTTGGAGAAACTTGTTAACAAGGAGCTAATTCACTGTTCTGTCCGTTGTTGAGTCGGTTTTTTGTTCAGGGTATGGATGTGTCTCTGCCATTTGAAAGTTCTAAATCATATAACAAATGCACTGGATGCTAGACAGCATTGTGCAGCAATAATTATTGACCTAACAAAAGCTTTTGATTTTGTGGATCATTTCAACTTATTAAACAGATTTGATTGTATTGGAGTCTCTGGTCATTCATTGGCTTGGCTTACACACTGCACCTCTCTAATAGGGGGCAGCATATAAAATTAGATATCCATCAATCTCAGCCACTTCATGTGCATTGTGGTATCCTTCCTGGGCTCAGTACTTCTCAACATTTCCTCTATAGTTATTAATGTTGTTCTGAAAGCTGTTAATAACTCCCATATTATATTCTAATGATACAATCCAGTATGCCACTGGTTCATCTGCTGACGTAGTGATTAAATCAATTCAGGACTGTTTCCTGAAAGTAGAGCAGGCTTTTACTGATCTCAATTTATCATTAAACACTGTAATGACTAAAGTTATGCGGCTTGGTCCCTCCACCTTGGACATTGTCGCCAGAGATGGAACTATTCTTGAGCAGGTTATGATTTATAAATACTGAGGAATCTGGCTAAATTTAATAATTGTATTGACACTACTTTCTCTAATGCTTTAGATAGGAATGGCAATTTTGAAATCAGTTTCTAATTACTAAAAACCTTAGGATCATGTTTCCCTGAATCACAACTAGTTTCAAGGAAGCAGGCATGGTGCCACAGGCTAAAGAAGTGTTATTGATAGTCAACACATTATGACCAATTGTTTCAACTGTTACTTTAAACAAAACAGATGGAAGAGGAGAATGAGTTTCATATTCGGACACCATATCATTTAAGGATGCCAATGAAATTTGTTTGTACAGGAGGAGATGGATCAGGACAGATGAAGAAGTCTAATATTCTAGCTCTTATAAAAAAAAACTCATCACAATTCAGAGGATGCTTCAAAATAAAAATTAGGTGTTGGTCAAGAACTGAGTTAATTGTACTGAACAGAATGTATGGTAATTTTTTGAGATAATATCTGAAAAAATGTAACTTTAGCTACTCTGCCTTCTGAAAAGTGGCTTAGCAATCTTTAAAAATATCATAAGACAAACTCAATTTATGCTTCTTCCATCTATGCTTCCTACATGATCGCCTGACCTCCTGGACACAGTCCTGCAACCAAGCCTGAGATTTTGGTTTGGCCCTCTTATTCTTCAAAGGCACAATAGAATTGAGGATTGATTAACACGTGGAGTCGAATTTGGTGATAAATTCCTCCATGTTCATCTGTGTGGTTTTCATTTTGTCAGACCAATCAAGGGAGTGTATAAAGTGTATTTTAATAATCTAAAATGCATGGTCTGAAGCACATGGTGCAAGTTCTTTTATGGTGTGGCCAACCCACTTTTGCTAGTTTAATGGTGGCAACATAGTCACTGCGCGAGGCGCATGGTCCCAAACGGTTATAGTAAGTCTCGTAATTTGTCATGGATGTGTGCGGGGCATAACATGCTACACCAATCAGAGCGTCATCTCATCTTCCTTTTAAGATCCAGGTGCACCTGCACCTTGGAAGATTGCTATTATAACGGCTGATTTGCCAGGTAGTATAGAAAAACATTCACTGCAAGTGCAAACAAATCAAAAGTGACAAATGCATTAAAAACTGAAAACACTAACGTTTAGATTTTGTTTGTGCAGATCTATGACCTGTTATTGCAAACATTGTTGCAGGTAAAATATGCCTATATGTATGACTAGCCTACTATTACGTGAAGAATGTATCCTGTTTTGACTGTTAAATGTTGAATGTAGCCTATCTGTTGAGACTACAGGTTTGTCTTTATACTTGAAAATAAGCCTAGTCAAATGAAATGTATTTTTCCTTTGCAAGTGGAAACAGGGCAAGACTTGGATGGCAAAAAAAAAAAATCTGGATGGCAGTGGAACAATTTCTTTTTTACTAAATATTTCTTTTACATTAAAAACCTGTAACAAAGCCATACAGTACATGAACTGTAAATGTCATGTAAGTCGACTGGCAACTCCACTGTGACATAAATTTCTTAAAATATTTTTATGTACAATTTAATCATCTTTCACTTTGTAATCTTTTTTTTCCAATCTTTTACATGCTTGTGCACTGCAATTGTACAGACGCTTTGCATGCTCCTGTCTTGATAATGCACAACAGATATGAATATTATGGTAGACAACAGACATGAATATTAAAATCACCCAAGGTCAAAATTCTTTCATTCAGGGTTGTTTTGATCTTGGAAATATAAAAGGCAAGCTATAGCCTAGTAATATCACACATGCATCATATTTTTTGCAGTTGTACAATCAGTATGATAAGCAATTCACCAAAACTTTATGTGTTCGGAATGTGGAAGAAAACTAATATACCTGGAATAAATCCACTTGAAGAGTTAAAATGATTTTACTGTTGATATATTTAGAGAAATATGATCTGGAATAGCTATGTGAAAATCTAAATTATAATCTCATTATTTGCAGGTGATGATTTTTCCATTATCCAACAAGAAATATTCATGGTGAAGGAATGCACCCACCAGAACATTGTGGCCTACTTTGGGAGCTACCTATGGTAATTCTGAACTCTCACACTGCTAAAGCGATCCATAATCTGTTTGTGTATTTTCATATTAAAATGTTAAAATGGTTGTATATTAGCAAAGAAAAAATTCTAATTGTAGTAAAAGACACGGTTGCTTGCAGACCGGAGATTTTCCAATGCCTATCCCAACTCTGTGTGTCTTTTTCAGTTACTCCTGAGGATTGGTTAGGCTTTCTTAATCCCTCTTAGTATGTGTTTTATTGTGAGTTTGAGCCTTTGAGCTTTACCACGCCACCTTTGTTGATGACACCATAGTAATTGGACTGATGTGCTTGTATAATTAATGTGCCCTCCACTATTATTTCAATTGCTTGCACATTTATGTATAATAGGGATGTAATGATACAGTCAACTCACAATTCGATACAATTTACGAGTTCACGATACGATTTTCTCACAATTTTTTTTACAGAATGAGCTGCAGACAAATTTATTCAAAAATATTCCTTTATCTTTCTAAACTGTGCAAAACATGTCCACTTCTTAACAGTGCAACTGAAATTGAATAAAATACTGTTTTTTAAAAAAAATCCCAAATCAAGATAAATAAAATCTTCAAATAAACAGTAACACCTTACATTAACTGCACCTTCATAATGCTTTTATATTGCATTCATTTTTTTTTTTTTTTCCTTTTTTTTTTCCTTTTCTTTTTCTTTCTTTTTTTCCTTTTTTTTTTATTTTTTATATTGCATTCATAAAACGTTCAGTACACCTTCATAATGTATTCAAGTATTCAGAAATCATTCATAAACATCATGCATGTATACCTTTACATCCTAACATCCTTTAACAGCTGTAATGTACAGTACATTAATAACAAACATTATATAATAGTAACAAACATTATAATTGTATAATCATGTAATGTTTGTTATTAATGTATATTAAAGCTGTTAAGGGATGTTAAAGTGTACTTGCATGCTGCTTATGGATGTTCTATGAATGCATTATGAAGGTGCACTGAATGTTCTATAAATGCATAATGAATTCATTATAAAGGGACACTTAATATAATTCGTTACCAAATAAACTAAGGCTTGCATGTGCAGCTATTTAGCCTGGTTTGCCCTTTTAATAATCTTCACTCTGGCAGTGGTGAATTGAGTTCACTGTGGTGCGGGTGGACATGCTGAAGCATGTTCGTTGTGTTATTTGTGTATGTTATCAGTCTTTTACAATGTTTGTACACAGTTTTTATCTTGTCTGTGCTTTTCTGGCCGTTTTCGTTTGTGATTACCGAAAAGCTAAAATGCTGCCACGCCGCCGATTTAAGATCGGGGGTGTGTCCTCAATTTCAAATTCGCTCGCCATCTCGCGTTCGGTCAAAACCAAAAACTAACGTACAACGTCAACGTGCATACGCAGTGACATCTGACATAGAACTGACGTCGTGAAATTAAATGTAATACCAGTTTTTCTGTTAAGTGAAGTACCGACATCAGCCGGTTTAAATCGTCATACATTTACAGTCGATTTTTAACCGATTCATGATTCATCATTACATGCCTAATGTATAATAGTATTTATTATATTTAATAGTGTTGCACCAATGTGGAAATTTTGGCTGATACAGTGTACCCCTTGTAAAGATTTGTAAAATGGGTTAGAAAAAAATCCACCTTTTAGCGAACCAGCTTCATCTCACATTAAAAAAAGAGAAAAATCCAACCTTTCATTGAAATAAATTTATTCAAAGAAAGAACAAATCCTTCATTAAGAATAATTATTTTTAACAAAAACACATGTGCCACAATTATTGGCACCCCTGCAAATTATAGTGAACACAACTGAAGCATGTTTCCCCTGTAAATTGTACATGTTTGAGTTGATTGGAGTGAATAGGAACCTTCAAGCTGTAATCCATGATTTCCTGATTAACTGGGATACAAACATGAGGAGACACAGAGGCCAAATTCCCTAAGTCATCCATCAACATGGGAAAGATAAGAGAACATACAGACCAAATGAGGGAGAAGTGTGCTGACCTTCATAAGTCAGGGAATGGGTATTTAAAAATAGCTACTCGTCTTAAAATGCCCATTTCTACTGTTAGGGCAATAATTAAAAAGTGGACATCAACTGGAACTGATAGAAATCTGCCTGAAAGAGGACCCAAGTTTATTTTGCCCCCACATACAGTGAGGAGGATCATAAGAGAGGCAAAAATATCCCCAAGGATCACAATTCACAGAGGCGGCATTACCTGAAGTAACAGTGTCTAACCGCTTTCAGGTGCTTCCAGCTTTAGAGCCGGAAGAGACTGGGGAGGCAGGTGGGCCCTTGGGCACCAAGGAGCCACCTAACCCCAGTAGAAGGGAGGTTGTGGTAGTAGGGGATTCAATTATAAGAGGTGTAGATAGTTATGTGTGTACCCGTGATAGAGGGTCCCGTACGGTGTCTTGCCTGCCTGGTGCCCAGGTAGGGGACCTTCCTGATCGAGTGGACAGGC